TAGGTATCACACCCAGTTTTCAAGTAATCGGTCTGTTATCGGTTGTCCCGCGATATTTTACGTGGGTCCTACAACGCATTTGCTTATCCTGCTGATAAAAAATCTATTCGTTTTTAACCGCGTTTAGTTCAACGTATCTAAGCCCTCTCAAATATCGTTCCCTTATCGAGACATTGATTTTGATTCCTGGTATACTTATAAAAAACTAGAAGAAGGGGAGGAAAGTCCGAGGGGAAACAAGGGTGGGCATACCAAAAAAAAAAAAAAAAAAAAAAAAAAAAATGATCTGTTCGATGAAATTTTCTTCCCATTTCTCTAAAAAGGAATCCTTAGAACCAGCGAAGGAACGTCGATTTTCGGAACGTTAATATCTTGCCAATTGTCGTCTTATTTACTCGCCTCGATGATACGCGCGTTTTATCGCCCGTGTTTCGTTACCCGATCAAGAATAAAATCACTTTTTTACTCTTTTTCCTAGTAAGTCGATTTGTTTTCATTTCGACAATTTATACGGATAAACTAGTTGCGCGTAAAAGAATGACAGATCGCCGTATCTTTCACGCTTGTTATGATTCCTTGTATACTCTTGACAAATCGCAGCATAACCGAATACGAGTCGAAGGCAAACGGTACTAGTTCACCGGTGACCGCTTTTTAACCAAATAACACAGAGGGAAGAATATTTACTTAAGGATCGGAGCACGTTCAACGTACGTATACGAAATAAAAATTTTAAACGTTCCTCCTAATACACCAACCCGTGTCTACCAAACGTAGATCGATGGGCTACGTTCGTATTTTGTTTGCTCTTCGGCCAACGTTGTTATCCATTTCTATTAAAATATCTCCATCCGTCGAAACTGGTAACTGATAAGTATCGGGCTTGCAGCATTCTGTTGTAATTGCTGTTGAAAATAGTTGCCCAGAGTTTCTCGCGAATCCTTGATCCTGTATACTGCTGCGCTTTTAGCTCGCCTGTTCTCGGACAAACTGGAAATTCGAAAAATTATCCAAGCGGTTGAGAAATGGGCGCAAGTGGCAACGATCTGTTTGCGATGCAACGTGCGTTTAATATGCGCCGGCGCGTGCACGTATATGCAGGTAGCACCTTTCAACCTCGGTCGTCGAGCAAACAGAAAAATTTTCAACCCATGATTATGCTCCGTCACGATAAACCAAGCTTATTTTTCCTCTCTTACCGTGTTTCGAGAAAATCCAAGGATTCCGAAAGCCGCTCGTCCCGACAATTATTATACGCACCGACTCGTGTCGTTATATCGTGTCGCTCGATTATTATCTAGAAAAGATCAGATCGTAATTTGAAATAATTATTTTTAACTTAACAACGTAAGCACGTGTTACATACTTTCGGCTATTAGCGTCTCGTTAATTTATATTACATCTTATCGATGTTCGTGTAGCGTAGCTAAAAATCGGCCAGTGTGCGCGGAACCTGCGAACGTCGATGCGTACACGCGCGTAACTACCATTCACGTGAAACGTATTTGCGTGTTTTTGCCCAATACAAAGTTCAATTTGACAAAGTTAAACGGTTGATAATCGTAATTAGCCGGATCATCGTAAATTTCGAAATTATATTTAACGATAACGATTTAGAATAAATATCGTTCTAAAGTCTAGTGGTGCCAAACTGAAAAGTAATTAACGATTTGATGGTTAATTCATCTGTTCTTATCACAGGGATAAGATTGTCCGATTAATGCTTTGATTAGGTATCGCTGGCGATAGATAAATCTTAATTGGTGTCATGTATCGATTTGCTACGGCTTTTGTGTATATGTAAATCCTCTTAATCGTACTTTATCCCCTTCGCTAGATTCTGTTTAATTCGAACGGTACAAAGTATTGGAGGGAACGCGTGAAACATGTAACACAAGGCACGAAATCTGAAACACGAAAACCGAAAGGTGTGATAATCATTCGATAATGTGTAACGTATCAGTGTGATACAATATAAGCATTTACAGAGATTTATCTAAAAGGAATTCTAAACCGATAGAGCTATATGTACATGCGCGTGTAATATTCGTACGTGTTTCATTTTTACCTTTAGTCACCTATATATACTTTATATTCAATTTCTCAACTGCATACGCGTATGGCGAGTCACGAAAATATTTTTTAGAAACTTATACATGTACGAAAGGTCTCGTACCGCGTGATATAAGTATTATCATGACTATATCGATAAACTATCAAGAAATAACGATAGATTTTAAACGATGGTCGTATCAAGTTTTTATACTCGTTCGTAAAAACAGAACATTTTCGTTTGTTAGACTGCCGGATAATTTTCCACGTTACCGTTGATCGCGTCTTTATTTCATCGACGATATTCAATTACGAACAAATCCATCGATCGACTATCGTTGGACAAGAAATCGTTGTAAATATTGTATTTAATACACCTAACCCCAACCTAACCCCAACCTAACCCCAATCTATTTACTATTTACCTGTCTACTTAGACAATTCGGCGTTTCTTTTCAATAATATCTGTTTTCCCTGTGCTTTCCTTTCTTTTCCCTCTCTTCCTTTTCGTTCCCTTTTATTTTCCTAACGCTATCCATTCGATTTTCCGACTCTTTCGCTCTTCGACTCTCGCTACGCTACGGTTCGAGGTCTATCTCCTAATTAGAATCTTCCGGCCCCCATGTGGCCGCATCGTCAAGTTCGGCCCTCACCGCCCATTACTTTTAATGGCGTTGTTAATGAAACTAGGTGTCGCCAAATTAACCTCTCGTTTCAGCAACGCTCAACCGAAATAATAGAAAACTGCGTTACCTCGATGCGGAACGAAGACAATTCCGTTTCAAGTTCGTAATTTATAATACATGCATGTACACGCGTATAACTCGTTAAACGAAAACCGCGAAAACCACGGAATCAGCCTGCTGCCGTTACGTTCGGCTCGACCTCTTAAAAATCAATTTCATCTGATCGAATATCGTATCGATGGAACCTATTTAGGTTATACGCGCGTTACACGATGATCGGATTATACTTATGTACATTGTTACTAAGACAAAGTCGAAGAAGAGATGGGATTGACGTAACTAAAGTGTAGAAATCAAATTGGAAGAACGATAAGAATGAAAAGAATGGCGAAAGATATACGAAATTGTAAAGAAAATACGATGTAACGCGAAACAAGTACGCTACGTTTGAAAACCACTGGCACTGGCTGATTACCGCGGTAACCATCCCCCGAGCGCCAATTAATCTTAACTTTTACGGGGCAAACACTTTTCATTAAGCTCGGTCCTGCCTCCAACCGGAGTCGAGTTATCCCCTCCATGTTGCAACCTTAGCCACCCTTGCCTACTTTCCTCTTTTTTCCACCCCTACTCTTCCGGAGCACGGCAAGCTCCTCTTCGCACTCGTCCTCTACCGAGCATGCCGAGGAACTGCGAGGTACGGGCGAGGTACGGCGAGGAACGGCAAGGAAAATGGTTCCCCAGACAAGCGTTTAATCTGGCTCTAATTAGCAACTTACCCTCCGCCCACGTCTCGACGTTTCACTCGCTCTATCTTTCTCCTTCTCCTCCCTTTTACTCGATACTCCTCGTACTCCGTTCCTCTCCTCCTTTACCCCTTCTTCTGCCATACCCTTATCCACTCTATCTCCTTCTCTATGTGTAGGACACTTCCTTCGTGGTTTATCCAGTTGTTGCCAAGCTTTTAGCCAGGCCAAAAATACGAAACGCTTTCCATGGTTGCTGAATGTAACCACCGCTCCACCGACAGATATAGCGACTATTTAATCGCTCATTCGAGATAAAAACATTACACTGGATCAAATTTTCCTCCAATGTCTCGTACAACGAACGATTCTTTATTTAAGCCTTATGCAAGGATTATCTAACGAGTATTTAAACGGGTTTGAAGTTTACCGTCGAGTACTGAGAACTTTTACATTTTCCACGTAAAAATATGGGAAACATGCGAAACACATTTTGACAGGGAAATACGAAAGTTGTTAAAAGAAGTATAGGAATGGGTACTTAGCTATCCAATTGCCCGCGTTGAGGTTAAGTAATTTGTGAAATAAGAAAAAGAGATATAGTTCATTATCGACGTCGTTGTATCGGACCATTGACCAGATACGTATATATGAACATGTACATATGTAGGGGAAAGACTTGACCACGGTCGTATGCACGGGTCTGGAAACTACAATGGAAGAGATAAGGCTGTTAAAGTCGGGAACTGTACTTTACAAATTGACCACCATAGGAAGCGGCGATCGAGAAATTAGGATTTCGTATTTAACGCCATCCTTCGGTGAAAGCATCAAACGCGAAGAATATAAACTAAACCATTGAGCTTACTCGATAATTAAACTACTTTTCATAATTTTTTTAACTCTAATTTTAAGTTAGTATATATATAATATTTCATCTATTACAGAAAAATGTTATTTAAATGAATATTAATTACGAACCATTATTAAACATACATTATTGTTTCCAACAAAGAAGTTTAACAAAATTATAACTTCCAAATCAAATATGGACACATATATTTAATGCTTTTATATTTGACAAGTATATTAGAAAGTAAATTTGTTGTTAGCTTTTTTAATTCATAAAAAATTTGTGTAATTATCGACGTTATCCATAATACGTCGAATACGTGAAAGAGACGGAGACAACCAAGTTCGAGTTATTTTCATACGATGGCGCTACACGGTAAATCTTAACTTTTCGATCGAAGCGCCTTATCGACTAGTCACTAAAAGGTACGAGCATGGAACTTACCATACGAGACTTCGTGTCGCGTTCTGAAATACCGATTTCGAAAAGAATCAGAATGTTTCTTATGGCCTCTGCGATTTGCTGAGGCGAATATAGGAATTACATGTCTGGGGGCTACGTCGCTCTCGTTACTAGTTTCATATTCATTTAACATGTTCTACGATACCGACTATTCGAAAATTTTATTACGCCATTTACAATTTATAACAAGACGCTAGTGTAATCAGTCCGAACGCGTTTATTCAAACAAAACTTTAGTTAATGCTTGATTAAATGAACTTCTCATGATTGAATTCATTTGTCTGAACATGAACTACTATTATACGAACAAGAAATCGTAAGTAGCAAGGAAAAGTTGCCTGATGCATACTTACCTTCAGTTTTCTAAGGATTTACTAGATCTAATAATCTGAATAAAACGTAACAATTTCCTTCAACGACACAGAGATTGTATTCCAATTGTTCGTATAATAGTTAAGTAGTTTATAGCAATATGAATCATTGCTATTAATATCGATTCACAAATGTAAAAATTAAACTGTCCGGCATTGAATATTACAATGAATTATATTACATTGAATATTATAATACCGTAACTATACAGCATATAAAATTATATTGCAAACGATCGATCGTTATAAACTGGTATCTTCCAGCATAGCTTTTGCATGTACTGTTATCTCGTCACATTTGTCGAGCTACGTCTTTCGATTTCGTTTATGTATCTCCTATGTCCTTATAAATTACAAAATCTAACTCATAACCTTGTCGATCCAAGGTACGAATTTCTGAATATTCGTATATACACCTGGCAGATGTTCCCGACCGCATCCTATACCCCATGACACGAGACCGATTAATACGTGTCTTCCTTCGACGGACATGGTTAAAGGACCACCCGAGTCCCCCTGTAATCGTATTTGTATTTATATCATTCAATAAATTAGATAGAACGAAATGTAATAGGCACTACTGGTCTGTCAAATATTTCATATGCACCAACTTAATGCAAATTCTGTATAAGCCAAGTTTAATTTACCTGACAGGAATCTCGTCCACCTTCCTTATATCCGGCGCATAAAAAGACGTCGTGAATGGTTTCGCGTCTTCCAGCCGCTCTAAACCAACGCTGACATCTTTCATTGGGGATTACCTGAAAGGCGTTACTTCGTATGTGATTTAACTTCGCTATTCGAATTTTAAGAAGAACTTTAACGTATGCGTATTTAAGATAGGAAATTATGCGTATAAGAAACTTGTTAGAAATGAAAATACACGATTGACTTTAGATCATGATCTACAGAACGCAACAGGATTGAAATAAAATTGAGTCCAAGTATGATACGCGTGCTGGTGCACGTACTTCCACATCAACCTCTTGAAGAACCGACGGCGCCGAACTTTGCCCGTGTCTAGTTCTACCCCAACCGGCAACTGTCGCTGTGCGTCCAGAAATTTTGAGATTCTTGGCTGGTAAACAGACAGGTACGATATGTTGTTTGAACGCCACTGTTCTCGAAAGCTTCACCAATGCCACGTCGTTTCGGAAATCGGTTGGCGAGTATTGCGGATGAACCTGCGAGACAATTTCCCATAATAAAATCTCTACGTCTGTTTCACGGCGCAATTCGCATACAAAAATTAAATAACGTAGCTCATCGCCTACCTCTTTCCTTTCGACGTTGAATTCTTCGTGTAGCAATCGTTCGGATGCGTCTCTAACGTCCCATTCACCAAGACGAACTTTCAGGTTACTATTCGGTGTTCTGTAGGAAAAAGAAACATTGATAATTACCATTCAAGTTGGTAGTGACGAATCGTAAAATGTTCTTGCTACGTATTTCTGCATACTAACGTTGCGACACAGTGAGCCGCGGTAACGACCCATCTGTTGTTCAATAAGGCACCGCCGCATGACAACTTTTTTGTTAAAAATCCAGATTTGATAATGGCAGCCTAAATTTCGAAGGAAACACGTAAAACGATCGACTCTCTCGACTCTTTTAAATTTTACGATAAATTTACCTGCCATGGATGACTACCGAAACTGGAACTGTGCCCACCTACGATTCTATTACTTCTCGTGTAAAGTTCACCGCAACCTGCAATATAATGCAAAACAAAATCTGTATCATATACAAGGAAGAAGCTTTGCTTTGGTTTAAAGCAATCGAATAATGCGGTATCCGATATCGATATCGAATACATATTTGATATCACGATCGTATTAACACATTTTTTCAAATTGAACTTATCCAAGATCTCATGCTTCTTGTCTGTAAATTTCTTTCTGTAAATAGCACGCGGTCACGTTTTTCTACATTTCTCCCATTTTTCTTTCGTTTTTCATCTGCTTACTATCCTTCACCTAGTTTATCGTTGATATCTATTTATCGTTGTCGTGTATGATAGCGATAAAGCCACATGTATAAAAACGTGCAAAGCGAGAAGTGACAGAGAAAGACATTAAGCGAGGAAAAGTGCTTTCTTCTGTTCTGGTATTCGTTTATTCGCGGCGATGATTATCGTCAGAAAAATACAATAAATATTCTTTGATCCACTAATATTCCATTATAATTATTCTTTGACCCACTAATATTCCATTGTAAATATTCTGCGATCAATTAAGTCGTCGACTTACAAATTTCGAAGAATAACGCGAACTTTCTGAAAGATAATTTGTGAGGCAATAAAACACGATTAGTTAATTTCTATCAAGGAAAGCAAAATTACTCGATAAATTGCCATAATATTAATAGTTCGCACATGATGACACCTATATTCTCCGTAACATCGCTAATAACTTTGTAAATAATTCCAATTTAAAAAAAAAAAATAAGTAATATAAAATATTTGACCGACTTCTTTACGTGACGATCAGAAGTAGGAGAGTACGATATTGGTGCAAAACTTTTGATTGGTGCGACTTCATGCGGATTACCACGATATTTGGAATAATCCACGGAGTTTGAGACGTCCTCGTTTGGCGTGTGAATTCCCGAAACATCGGGATAAGCGACGTCATATTCATCCTGAGGATAATCAAGCTGCAGCGGATGATAAACCGATGGACGATTTGTATGCACAGGCCGATCGTAATTCCATGTCTGTGAAGACTCATAAATGGTTGTTGGTTTGTTTGCGATGTCTGCGTACAGGTAGCTCGTCCCGTGCTCGTTCTGACCGCTATACGTCGGTTTGCTCGGCCTTGCCGCGTTGTCGTAGATTTGCACATCATCGTCCACATAGGGATGTTGATTTCCCAAGTTTAACGAAAGTGCTATGTTTAAACAACCTTCATTTTACCTTTTCTACCTTATTAATCGCAATTTCCATTTAATTGTACTTATCACCGGGTCCATTCAACATATCGCTGAGCAAACCGTGTTTTCGTACGTATCAGAAACAGAATCAGAGTTAATGGTCCCCACCATTATCAGTATCGTTATGTTGCATTGTTTCCTTTTTCCTCGACATTAAACGACATAAAGAATTAACTTTACCGCAAAGATCTTTTACAATTTGCATCGCACGTAATACAATCGAGGCTTAACGAGTAAGTAACTTTTAACAACGAAATATTTCGAAATTGGTTATCAAGGAGAAAAGGACTCGATAAAAATTGTAGAGATTTTATGACAACTCACTAGCATTTTGTAGTAGCCCGATTGTCGGTCGTGGTACTTTGTCGGGGATGTCATCGTCGTCGACGCAACAGCTCCATATCAATCCTCCGGAACAGAGATCGACCGGACGACCACCTCCGAGAACGCAACTAATACTAAGGCCACAATCGAATGTCGTTCCTTTGTACGTACACGTTTGCGGTATCACTAAAACAGAACAGTTATCGACAATCATTCACCATTTCTTCACACTTGAAGATAATAAAACTGCACCGCGTAAAATAAACAACGTATAAGGGAAAAATATTCCGAATTTCATCCCCTTAACGTTACAGTGACTCGCAAAAGTATTCGAACACCTTTTACGGATATATCATGCGTATATTATACGAAATATTTAGAAATTTCACGAGGATTGTGATCAGACACGATTATCATGATTATATTGGGCAAATTTGAAGCTAATCCGAAAAAAATGTTCAAGCAATAGAACAGTTTACAAGGTAATCATTTAATGGTTTTATGCTAATCACTCGCATTCGATCTTTTAGAGATTATTATATTTTTTTATGGGTAGTGTCTTGTCATGTCTTGTATCTAGCATTGTTGTTCGAGTGGCATACGGCATCGCGTTGCTTTTCTTTCGGTCTGTTTCTTGAGATAAACACATGGCTGCTTTCGTTTCGAATAACGATTTCATAAGTGAAATCGTGAATTCAACTCATAGTGACGAGATCGAGCAGGAAAGTCGGACGACTAGCGGCTCGATTATTATATTTTGAATTATTGTACCAGTATTGTATCAAATGAACGTCTTTGAGCGTTTATTCGATCATTACCGATCGTAAATTGTCCATAGTCCGTCGTTATACATATTTTGTCTGTTGTACACCGCATTGCTTGTTTGTTCGTTTTTTGTTTCGATTTACTCTACAAAGAAGGATATTCGATCTTTATAATATATCTTTTCTCAAACTGGAGACTTTATATTTTAACAAGTCAATCACGATTATATTCCTCAATCTCGATTTTTATTGTACGAAACGTACTTCTACCCAACATGTCCATTAAGCCATTCTGCAGATCGTTATTATGACCTCGATGATCTCCCGTGTAATTTCGTTTTTTCCTCAGAGCCTCGACAAGGAGGGTGCCTTGCTGTTGACTGGTTAATTTACGTCTTCTTCCTTGCCTGTAACTTGTCGACGTTAGCTGTTCCAATTCCTCGCCGTTCATCTTTTTCTTCAATCGATCAAGAAAACCTGTAAAATCATTTTCTTCACTGGTATCGTTCGAATATCCGTTATCGATGATACGTTCATTCGTTAGCTGTCGTTGTTGAACGTTAACTTTATCCAACGTCGAAATATAACTTTCACTATCGTTGTCACTATCATCAAATGTACGTATATCGTGTCTCCCTGCTATTTGTCTTCTCCAATCGCCATTTCCGACCGTGTCAGCCTCCGACGAGTCTTTTCTATTGGAATAATCCAACCTACCTTCCGATAGACCTTTATTTCTAACGAACACTCTGCGAACAGCGTTTCGAGGCTTGTCAAAACGATCGTAATCTCCATCGTTCCACGACTTTTCTCTTCTCGGATCGAAACATGTTTTCACGCCAATTTCACGTACAGGATTATCAAATTTCTGACCCCCAACTACCGTCAAACTATTGTCCAGTTTATTTGTTTCCCTCGGGCTTCTTTTATCCGACAGTTGCTTCTTAATCCATAAATTGAGAGGGTCTTGTTCTACGAACTGTCCGTTGGATAGCAACGTAAATTTCTCTGCTCTTTCATTTTTCTTGGATTTCTGCAATTTCGAAAACCAATTGTGTAAATGTGACAAAGACGGTGTAGTGGAAGAGGCCAAAGGACGATCGTAAGTCACTGCATCGTAGTTACTGTACTTGAGTGCAGTAGCGGTTACTATTAGGAACACGTGTACAGTCGCAGTGACACTCATGGTCTGATATCTTTCTAATTTATTTCGTAAATAAATTAGAACTCGTATTAACGAGTCGTCACAATTCGTACCATAGTTACGCGTAATTTACTTGTTACCGATAAAACTCTCGACTTCATCGAGAATCGAATTGCTTTGTTACCGTTGAAGAGCGCGCAGGTTGCCAATGATCCATGGAAGATATCCGACACCGTCGTGCCTTCGACATTTTACCTTCGTTCCATCGATTTAATCGAACTTTGTGTATGTCACCTGATAAATTTCAGTAATTTTCTGTGCACCTCTTTCTGTAACCACCTTTCGGATCTGTCCTTTTTTTTTAAATGACTCGATAAAAGACAAGCGTCGATTAATCAACAACGTTCACCTATTGTACGTGTAATTTTGATCACCGTTTACGCTCATGCCATAAATATCGTTTCCGTTGCGACACTTAAAAAAATTAATTCTTGCTTAGCCTATTACGAATTGATGCGTTCCACCGACTAACGAGACTCTACCGGCATCTAAAGAAGCGTTCCCGGCTTTCACCAACGTCAGCTTTCTCATTGCTACGATAGCGTGTCTTTCCTGACATTGGTTCCCCACTCGTCCTCTTCTTCACTCTCTTTTGCTTTCTTCCCCCTACCTTGTTGTCCTCGCGTCCTTTCTTTCCGTTGTTCTTTGCCTTTCTTCCTTTCTTTTCCCACGTATAATGTACATATTTGCATGTTATATATGCACAGTAGCAACAGTAGCGACAGTAGCTCACCAAACAATTCGATCACTTCTAAAAACGTTTTACGTTTAATAAACCTTAAGGCTAATTACTAAGACTATTTAATAAACTTTAACCCTTATAAGCTGTCATGGGTGAAAGTTCACTGCGAAACATCAGTAGAATTAAAGAAGCTGATTCACAAATGATTTATTATTACGCAATATAAACGAGGAGCAGAAGAATTATTGTTTCCGATAAATAATTAACTATATAGCATTGCGACGATATTATCACAGGCCGATAATATCGAAAGAAAATTCGCATTGAGTGAAATTTCATTTGTGATATCTTCTAAGAGTTAATGTTGGTTATTAGACTGCCTAACTGTAATTCCGAGATGAAACATCTAAGTCTATTACATCTATTAACGATTCGAATCGTTTAATTTTTGGGTCGCGGTGTAGATTCACATAAAACTTACGTCCGAGTTCGTCGAAAAATCGTGTCTGTCCTTCTGTATCGATTACATTTTCCATCGCAGTTTCCTTCTTTGTATCTAGATCTAGAATCGAAATGCGTAATTTATATTATATATTATATATTATATTATATTAGCACAAACGTTATGTAAGAAGAAACATAACCGACGTTCTGCCAAAATGTTTTCATCCATGTGAATTTATATCTTCGTGAAAATTAAGGGCAACGATACGAATAGACTGTATGTAAATATGCTATTCGCTTGCTTTTATTAACTCAGACTCACCGAAATTCTCTAAATACCGGTCATTTTTCCTGATATCGGCTTGACAATAGAATCCAACAAGAAGCCGAGTGAAAAGTAAACTTGCAAGCCAATTCATTTCTCTTTTCTACCAGCGATCTAAAACAAGATCGATCGACAAAGATTTGACTCGTTGCCGACTCGTTGTAGCTCCTCTAGTCGTTCACCAATGCGAAGGAACACCCTAAATCTTTACGCTTTGCGAATCGAAAATTCGCAGTTTCCGTGCAGTGTCTTTTCCTTCGAAACAGTTTTATTCCCCGATCTTTTTCAAACGTTAACTCGCCGATATTACCGATCGATACTTGCATAGCTCCTGTGATTTATTCGAACAGAATCGCAATAAAAAAGTTCAATCGATAATCTAGCATCCTTGCTAGAACCTCTCTCTCTCTCTCTCTCTATCTATCCATCTATCTATCTATCTATTTATGTTTAAATATAATCCTCTCGAATCAGGCCAGAAAGATACTAAATTCTGAAGAATACCGTTGATCGATCACATTTCTATTTTTATCGTTTATCGACGATAATTGCAACTCGAACAAACTTACGACTCGTCTAAATATATAGTCGTAATCTTACGATGAAATATGATCCTACCCCTAAATGAGGGTCTCTATCTTTCTTCACAAAGTACACATTAATGAGAAAATTTGTCTCGATAGGAACGCCTGAAAAGTTCTGCAAATGTTTAATTTCATTTCTGAACTTTGTGTGTCTTTTTCCTGGATACCGTTCGTGTACCGTAAGAATACGCGAAGCGTAGCGAAGGCATTCACACGTAGTGTGGTCCGGTAGAAAAGTGGGTCGTGAAACCAGGCCACCGAAACAAGTGGCACGTCGTCTCTTCGTGTGGTTGTTGCTTCGTAACACGTTCTCAGTACCCTACGACGTCCCGTGAACGTGCGGTACACGCGTGAAACCGTAGCATTACACCGTTTGGTTATTAGTGAAAGTTAGACTCAGTAACTTTCGACTTTGACAATGCCGATTTGAATCGCACGTATGAATCGGCTCGTCGAAATACTCTTGGTAGGACAATTCCCATCTTTGCACGCCTGCCACGCGTTCTCTTCCCTTCCTCTTGCCACGTGACGTTCAAAAGGGGCTGCTTAACGATAAACATGAGCATTCGTCAGACCGTTTCTTTTCACACCGCGTGCTGAAACCGGTGAACATTGTCTGGATCACGAGTTCCTTCAAAAATTCCACGCGGACCATTGCATTTATGATATCCAACAATACATTTGCCTCCGGTTATTAATTATTTAATCGTAGATTATTACTCGATCGATTGGTGCTTTATGCTAGCGCACACATACCCACGCACGCACACTGGCATACGCACACGCCAACCCACGACTGACGATGACCGAAATGAATGAAAAGTACCGATCCTTAGAACGATAAGAGGAACAGGTGTTTGATTTCAATTACATTTCCATCACGATCGGAATCACTTTGACGTCTTTCCTTCGCCGATTACCCGATGACACTGCGAAGAAAGGAGGAGATCCTCGGCATAAGGTTGACTACTGATGAGGAACGGAAATACAGCATCCAGAGACCACTCTCTCTCTCTCCTGATAGTTCCTTTCATACGGCTTTTCTCACTACCCCTCCACCTTTCTTTCTTTCCTTTCCAAATCGTTATCTTCCTCATTCGGATGCACCGGACGATTCCTTCGCTTACTTTCAACTCGTATTCTGTATTTATACAGACCCTGATTATCGAATTAGGTCCACATGCAGAAATTCCACTCTTCGAACTGTGACATCCTATATACATAGAAGTATATCAAAATGGCATTCTTGACTATAAATAGCAATTGTTTAATTTATTTAACTTCTTGTTATTGAACATCATATTGAAAGTGTCTGAAGCTTAGTCAAAGACATCTGTGTACTCACCACCGTCGATCATTGTGGTAAACCTGTACTAAACCCGTAAAAATCTAAATTTCCCAAAGTCATATTCAATTAGTTTTTATGTACAACATTTTTAGTGCCAAAGGTGAAATTACCTTTTAATGTCAAACCATTTTTTTATTAGTTGCTAGAAACTAGCTTTGCCAGAAATCATATGAAAAATTATAGTGAAAGTAGAAGAGTGAGAGTACCGTCAAGAACGATTTCGAATGTAGGAGAAAGTGCCAAAAATAATGGTTTTTAAAAACTGTTCCGATTTCGGCCCCTCTCTTTCTCGTAAACAGCTAAATTAACGGCATTCTCACTTTTTTAAATTCCTTCCTATTGCTCGTTCTTCCTTGTCGTCCTACCTTTGACTATCAGCTACACATAGTTTTCTAATTGTAAATTGGTCTCTTGAAAGAAGGCCATCAGACTTCTAAGCACTCTTTCCTTGAGGGTTCCAGTTAATTTTCTGACATTATTTCTTACTCTCTCTACATTTTCTTGAGTCTTCTTCTCTAGGCTGATCCTTTCTGTATACATAGAATAACAGCATTTCCATAATGCGTGATCATAATCAGATTCTTTTAATAATACCCTTTTATTTGTGATATTATGTTTTCCAACGGAATCTACAATCGATTGTATTTTTAATTAAATAATCTTATTCTGTACTGTATCGGTAAAGTCGCATGTGACACGAAAATTAACGCAATCAATATCAACGAACATCAATCCTCAAATTCATCCGACAATCAAAAGTGGGATACGAAAAAATATTACATGTTACTTACTTGTTTGTTGTATTTAATTTCTTCTAGCGGTTGCCATATCGATATTGAAATTATTCATATTCGATTAATCGATTAATTTAAGTAAATTGCTCGATCTATCGATCTCTAAATTCGAGATGTGTTGATCGAATATTATTCTTCGTTTATCGATATCTGCCGACATTCATTTCGATTTTTCTCTCTAAATTCCTTTTTTGAATAAAACTTGTTTATAGAACAACAAATCGTGAAAAATTAATCTGTCAAAATAAAATTATAAGTTAAATAATTAAACATAAGTGGCAATATCATTCGTGACAAGATTTTACCAATACAGACGATACCTATCGAAATTTTCGAGTCAGGCTGAGTCACTTTGTGAACTTCATCGTATTAAGATATCATATTAAGATGGTGAAATAAGACAAAACATCGTTTCGGTACGAACGATAAATTTGTAACAATTAATTGAGCAATTTTACTAAAGGATATGGATTATTACTTAACATGGATCGAAAGCATCGAGAAATATTAGACTCGTGTTACGAAGATATTGTACCTAGAATAAATATAATCAAATTATGGCCAAAACTGTTTGAAAATAAAGTTTTTAATAGAGATGACGTGAATATTTCGCGCTGGATAGTAAGAAACTTTTTAAAATTTCCTGAACATTTTACGACTATAAATTATATAGAGTGACTTGTGAATTTTGTAATATTTTATATAGAAAGACATCACAAATAAAACAACAGTACATGAAATATATTTGACGATAAAAACACGAGGACCACTTGCATTTGCTCGTTTTCTTGCAAGCCTAAGACAAAGTAACCATGAAGATTTAGCAGATATTTTGGAAGGAACAAGAACTCCATTACCTATTACTAACACGCCAAGTTATGGTGATCATAATGAATGCACGAAAGAAAGCAATGTAGAGGAAACTACTTTTATTCCAACTGCAGAAGGGTAAAGTTTAAAGTCCTACTAATTAGCTTTAATTTATTTTGTATGTATATCTTATTCTGCATTTACTGTATCAATTGTATTTCCATTTTTAAAAAAGGCCACAAGGCGACTTTTTTCGTAATATACAAGTATTAGAGGAACCACTACAAATTTTAGTACAGAAAGCTACAAAATTCTTAGATGGGCCTGAATATGAAAATGTTCAAACATATCCAATGCGTAGCAAACCCCGTGGACTGGTTTTAATAATAACAAATATTGATTACAAACATCCAGATAAAGAAGATAGAAATTCGGCTATATATGATGAATCAAACTTAAAACAACTTTTTAAACAAATGGGTTTTGAAGTTTCTTCCTATTGCAATCTAACAGCACAGGTAAATATGGATACATTTACATATTAAAAAACAAATGAAAACTTTATATCACATAGGCTATTTCTTTCCAAGAAAATGTTAGAGAGAATTAAAGAATTTTCTCAACGTAAAGAGTTACGCAAGGTTGATTCTTGCTTTGTTATAATAAGTAGTCATGGTAATGTTAATACACAGTATGAAGTCACAGAAATAGAAGGTGTAGAAGAGCATATGCAAGACAAAGTGCAAAATCAAAAAACTGTTTTATGTACTGATATTTTGAGTTATTTCACTGCAGAAGCTTGTCCCAATCTTGCAGGGAAACCAAAGATTTTCATTTTTCAATTATGTAGGTAAGTGCTAAATCCACTATAAAAGTATCATAGATACATATAGTGATAATATTTTATTATTATACAATGATCTTTTAGAGGAAAGAAAAAACAAAAATCAGTAAAAGAACCTAGACATACAACAGATACATCTAACTTTCAACATTCCTCTGATGAAACTACTAATGTTAAAAGAAATGGTAGGGAGACACTGAGATGTTATGAAGATATGTTACTTTCATATGCTACCCTCCCAGGATATGTTGCCTTCCGAGACAAAATAACTGGTAGTTGGTTCATACAAATTTTGTGTGAAGTATTTATGAAATATGCTCATAAAGCTCATCTTCAGGATTTATTAAACATGGTGAATAAATCTTATGAAAGTATATTAATGCCATTCTATACATTAGTTACAATTAGTTAATGCTTCACAGGTTGATGAGAGATTAAAAATACAAAGGACTAATGGAGGAGACTGTCAGACATTAACGATAACACTGATTGGATTCAATAAACATTGTTATCTTAATCCTGGTCTTTTTGAACAGATATGATCTTAGAAACTTGCCATTGAACAGAATGCATAATCTATATATATATATATATATATATATATATATATATATATATATATATATATATATATATATATATATATATATATATATATATATATATATATATATATATATATATATATATATATATATATATATATATATATATATATATATATATATATATATATATATATATATATATATATATATATATATATATATATATATATATATATATATATATATATATATATATATATATATATATATATATATATATATATATATATATATATATATATATATATATATATATATATATATATATATATATATATATATATATATATATATATATATATATATATATATATATATATATATATATATATATATATATATATATAGATTAACATTTTTTCAACAAATTTTATATATCGAGTGTACTTATTTATATATAAATTTTATATATTTGAATATGAATTAATATTAAACTGGGCAAATGTTACATATTGGATGTATTTGAATCATATTACATTTTTATTATATTTTACAAAATATACCAAGAAATGTGTAAACTTTTACGTTCTTCTCTTTCTTTTTTGCGTATAGTCTATCTACATCGCACAAAATTTTTTAGAAATGATAAAGTACTATAGTCATTGATATAGTAATAATATACGTGACAAAGAAAAGAATAATGATATGAACAAATGAAGCGTTTGTAAAAGGAAGAACAATACATTTCACATTAAAGGGAGCAATGATAACGATGACGAAAACAGACTGACATCCAACTGTGTTTCTGTACAATAATAAGATTTCAACATTTACGTCAACCGCATACATTGAAATTTACTCTAAATGCAGTATAGCATGAATAACGATCTGTAGTTGTAAAGAAATAATTATATGCTTATGCCATTTGATACTGTGGTAAAAAAAAGAAGAAAATAATTTCAAGCGATATAATTTATGATTAAAACTCTTAACATTACAATATTTGTGTCATGTTTTCGTATCGCATAATATCGCGGTTGAGAAAGAAAGAGGTGTTTTGAAGTTAATATGATATACCAAAAACATATGTCATATCTCGATTTATGTTCTAACGATATTACAGCTGTAAATTACAAATTACATGCTTAACTATATTCTAAATTCAAATAGGTGAAAAGATAAACGTTCCAATACTCTCGGATCTGTTTTCGATAAGTACATCACACCGTGCAATTAGATAGCAGAATTTGTAAAAATTAATAAGATATGATAATAAGAAAAATCCACGTTATGAGAGCAAAGAAAATAGAAAAATTAAACTTCTGACAGATTTTGTAATAATTATGTATTTAATAATAAATGAAATATTAAATAATTAATAAGTAGATTAATTTTGTAGTAATTTTTGTAAAATTCAAAATTAATTTTGTAATCAACTGTAGTTGAACTTATTTCCGTGAATGATGCTGAATATATCTTCTTTTATATGTATTTATTTATTGTTTTGGATATGGCTCAAGTGAATGTCAATGAGTCAACGTCAAGGCGATTTAATTTAAAAAAAAAAAAAAAGGAAAATTCAAATTTTCTATCGAAAAGTCGAGAATGACACTCTCTCTATCACGTAGCTTTTTTCCTTTTCCGTTTTGCTTCTTTTTCCCCATACAATCCTGTACACCATCCGATAGAAATAGCATATGAGGCTAATGTTTAATACAAAGATTGCGCGTTGGAAGAACGTGGCTTTTTGATCTTCTCCAAATTCTTGATTACCAAATCGTGCAGAGAACAATAACGATTACGGACTTCGCACATAACTAGCCACAGGCTTACATATTCTTTTTCATCTAATTCTTGGACTGCTCTTCTATAGTCGCTAATGTGTGGATACTTTGCAACTTTACTAACAATCTTTCCTCTAGAGATAAAATACCTAAAAAAAATATCATTGCATGAGTATAATGTGTCCCTTATGAGAAGAAATCTTTTAATATCATTACTATTCACATTACCTAGATATCTGATCGAAAAATGCAGCAGCCTCACTTTCCACTGATTGTATTTCTGCAAGTGTATCTTCTTGAATGGACACACCAAAGTTATTACCATCTTCGATTTTTGGAATCAAAAATGAAATCCACATTTTCAACTGGAAATTCAAAAATTAAAATAACTGATAAGGATATTAAAGTTCATATAATCTATATATACTACTCATATACTTTATAGAATATATACCAAATTAGAATCTTCTAATAGTTGTCGAATATAAGGCTTAACTATATGAATAAGATCACATAGGGGCTTGTTACAAGGTACAGGTCCATTTGGTAACACCATCACTTTGGTTCCACTGGTATCATCTATGCTATTGTCTAGCTTTCGTTTCTTTGCAGTAGACTCATTTTCGGAATGATTAAGAATAATAGGATCTGGAATGGGCACATTTAAGTCTTGATGAACATTTGACAATTTCCTGTTGCGGAAACCAGGGGTTTCTAATAATTCGTTCAATTTAACAATCTTCTCTGGAAATCCTTTCAGCAATAGTTGTTCAGCCTAAATAAAGTTTATGCATGTGATATTATGATGTACTTCGCAACAAACTGAGTATACAAATTATAGGATAATAATATTCAATTAATTACCTTTGTTTTTAAAGAATCTTTGTATTCCTGAACCTGTAAAATAAATTTGAGAGGTAAATGCATTAAATAGGATGGTTATATTCAATTAAAAATTGATACTTTGCTTTAATTACATTTACAAACACATACATGTCTTAGATATGAGCAAAATGAGATTACACGTAATAGCAGTTATAAGTAATACATTTATTTCATAGTAATGAGTTGTCGAATAAATGTTTATAAATTATCCGTAAAATTACAATCAAAACAAACATTAAATATTACTAACCAAAACGATGAATTAATGGACAAAAAATTGTATAAGAAAACCGAGAAAAGAATTGTACTGTCGATATAACAATACAGGTATAGTTTTGCATAAGTATTGAGATAAGATGACTGACCAAGGCCAATTACTAGAATTGTAAATAGATTAAAGAATTGACGTGTATAAGTGATAGGAGAATTATGTTAAGATTCTTGAAAATATTGATGATGAAACAGCAAATATTATTTGGAACATAGCGATGCCGGTGAGTTAAACGCTACCATTAACCTAAACAATCTTACTTGCAATATATTAAACGTGTAATACAGACTACTTAATTTCATATCTTTCTGTTTTGCAGCTTCAATTATAATATAAAATATTTTACCTTCTGTGCTGTAGTATCCGCCATTATACACTCCATGAAAAAAAAAAGTTTATAAAATATAACCACACTATCCCTTTGTTGTAACGTACAACTTCAAACAGGAAGTTGCGGTGAGTATTCTTACTACGCCATCAAATCAGAATCTGTAACATTAATGCAGTTATATTAGTCTTCTCAGAATTTAAATTTCTGTTTATTCGTCTAGAGTTATTTTTTCTTCGTCAAAATCGAGACACCATAGAGCTGATTGAGAGAATTATAATCATAGCATGTGCAAAGGTGCACGATGATACACAATATGTCAATCTTTATTCTTTTACTTTTTACATGTTTTATTTCGTATTCTGTAGAAGTTGTTTTTACTATAATCTATACAATTTGAATTCGCTTCTTTGATAGAAATGAAAATTTAAGAAAACATGATGTGATAAATTATAATTGATGTGAATAGAATACTAATAATACAAAATGATATTTTGATTCCAATTAACTGTCAGAAATTAAGTCAATACTCATATAAATAATCTATGAAAATGTCAAATAAGTAGGTGCCAGAAGTAGGAGAGAGATAAAAGGATAATACTTCATTAAATTGAATGTCATGGATATATTTAAAAAAAACTGTAATTTTTTAAAAATAAACAGCATACAGTTTTGCGAATATTGAACATATTTTTAATCAGATTAGAACAATATTTTGAATCAGATAAGTAAAACGGTAAAATGTATCGTTTCATTGTATTACCATTGTATTTCGTATTTTGTACATCAATATCCATCTTTTGAAATCAGCAAATTAAATCTGCTATACATGATTGTATAACACATGTTTGTATAAACACTGTGTAGAAATATATATTAAATACGGCTAAGTGAGTTTCTTTGCTTTTTGGTAAAGTGTATCAACGACTTTCCCCATACTGTGTATAGTATCTAATGCAATCTCGTAAGTCTTATCGCGCGGAGTATCTTCAAAAACGATTAAAACACCTTCACCCTGATCAAGGACACCCCTTAGTTTTTTATCCAGTATCATCTGTGAAAGCTTCTTCTCCACTTGAGTAAGTGGTAGTGATATAGAGGTTGCGATATGACTGACCTAAATAAAAGAATGAAATTACAAAAGATGAATATTTATATTTAAATAATCAACCGATTTAAAGTAAATAATCGTACCTGTACGCGGGAATAAGGTTCAACTAAACGGCATAAGTTTTGTTCAAGCATCGCATCGTAGAGAGAGCCGAGATGAGCACGCACAATTACGTCATCCTCAAGTTCTTGGCGATATTTTTTCACAGCTGTCTGAAAATCTGCTAATGAACGTCGGTGGCTCGCTTCGGCAACTGCCCGCATTGCGTCTAAATCCCTTCCTGCATATTTAACAGCTAATTTTCCTGACATAATTGATTGAACATCTTCAGGTGTACGTAGCATAATTTTTGAAAGTAACATATATTTTAAAGCTGTTAAGGCCTTTGGGCTTTCTACGCTATCATATCTGAAGAACAGTAGTAAAGCAATTAAAATATACAAACATAAACATAACAATTATTCTGAAGTACAATATATTTATTTAAGGAAACAACCTACCCCTCAAATGCTTCATAAAAATATGAATAAGCAGTTTTAAAATCTCTTTCATCCGCAGCATGTAATATTCCTGATTGTAAATCTAAAGCAGCTTGCATTTTAGGTGGACAATAAATTGCATTAGCAGTGGTTCTAGCACTGGTAAGAGCTGCCCTTGCTTTTGCTAAATTACTCAGTGCATGATAGGTTTTGCTTTCCAATAATTGTACCTCCACCAAAAGTTGTTTATCATCCAGTTTCTTAAGTTCTTTAAGTAAAGCCGATCCCAACTGTAATGCTTCACTGTACATACCAGTATCGAAATATAATGCTATTAAACGTGCTTCTAATGACTGCCTTAAAAATGTCCTACGTTCTTCTTTTGCCCATTCTATACATTCTTTGCATAGTTGAACCTGTTGAAAAAAGAAGCATTGTACTAAACTGTCTATGAAAATACAATCAAAATTATTTGTGAAGATACCTCAATGCCGATACCAGCTTCCAGATCCAAGAAAAAGTCTACTAAGGACCGTACGAGTTTGGCAGCTTTTGCTTTGCTAATCAAACTAAGAAACGGTCTGGTAGCTTTAATCAACTCTGCCAACTCTTTTGCCTTCCCTTCTTTTTTGTAAAGTTCACCAAGGTGTAAAATACCTTGCTCCTTCACTCGGATATTATCTTCGTCATCCTCCGTCACACCGATACTTGGATCGGAGACGATTTCACTTAAAAGTGAAATACCCTCGCTACGATTAGTCATTGAAACTGCTTGTGCACGTTCGAACAGCATTGCACCGGCCATCTCAAAATTTTCACCGCTTTATAAGGATGAAAACGGGATCAGATAACCTTTATCCTAAATGATGAATATTATTCTTCGGATAATTGATCAAATTCGTGAAATAATTCCTACGTTTTACAAGAAATCAAAGTTAATTTTCTTTAATACGTTGAATATCGCATGCGCTTGTACGCACAACTACACAAATTTTATAAACGTCTTCTGTTTGTCACTTTATTCGCAATCCGTTTCAACCTCAGAACTACAAAACACATGTCACGCTACTACGTAAATCAAATCAATTGCAGTAAGCCTGGAAACGTTCAGACTGATGCAGATTTTTCTAAATAGGTTATTGTTATTTGTTTTTAATAGATGTGATTACATTCCTGTAATTAATTATGTAGTTGATTTTTCGTTGTATTTAAAACTTGTATATTTTTGTACTTTTCTTTATTAAACAATTTTGCAAAAAGGATGGAAGGTATAAAGAAAGCGTAAAGAAAGAGATAGAGTAAAAAATGTACTATACGGAAGATTCCAGATCGAGATTGTATGTATATGTACGTTGTGTTAAGGGACATGTAAAATGAGATTGTGTAAGATATAAATATACGAATGCTGAATGGATGTAAATCTTAGATTGTATAGACGTTTAGAGCTGTTTGAAGATAAAAGTGTAACAATTATAAATATTTACTTAAAATATTGGATGGAAATTGTTATTGTTACAATTGATTTTAATAATGTTATGATCATGTCGCAGTATTTGTTTTGAAAATGTCACAATTTACTACAACAAATGTTATTAATGAAACATCTTCCAAGTTAACATATCATGATTGTAAGTTACAACTTGTGTAAATGCATTCCTTTAATTAGAAAGGAATAACATTTCATTTGAAATAGAATATATTTTACAGATAATAAAACAAGGTCTAATTTACCATTTCAAATAGCCCTGTATGTAAATCTATGGCTTTTCCCAGTTTGGCTGTTGATTACTGTTGTAAACTTGGATGCAAAAGTAAATATCATCTTTGTGATGAAGTTATAAGATCAACATCTAATGTATATTAACTTGTACTTATATATATTAATTTTATTTATTATTTTTTCACAGTACAATAATTTGACAAATGTTTATAAATTGCTAACTATAGCAATATTTCTGATACTTTCAATTTTTGAAAGCTTAAAGTTATATTTGGGATACCTTGGAAATCTTACTGGAAAGGTAATCATACTTTCTTTGTAATAGACTTTTTTTAGTTGATTTGTAGATTTTTGTCATGCAAGAAAGTTAATATTAGATTCCAGAATTAACTACTTGCTGGTTAATCTCGATATTAATACAACTTCCCCTAGAAGCATTTCTCCTTTTTGATCGTGGAATACCATTTCATTATAGCGAAACATTTATCAATTCTTTCATGGTCTGCCTTCTTCTTATCGAAATTATTACAGGTACGATAGCTTTAATGAATTTAGCAGATCATCGTGCTAAAGTGTTTTATTTAATGCATTTATACAATACATGTACATAGGATGGATGTTAAACTGTTCTAAAATACCTTTGTAGCTAGTCTCATTTTTTAATTATATATAGAGTTTTGAGCAAATACTGGCTAAGTGTAATTACTGTACAGTATACTAGTACATTATATTAAAATACTATTGCAGATGTTTCCTTTAGCAAATATTCTCAGTTAACACAATACCTAATGAACACAATTCTCAGACTAATAAAATGTCTTATCTCAGAGATTATTAGTTTTATAAAATAACTGTATCGCTAATACGTTTTTTCGTAAACGCATTAAATAAATTTCCATGCTCTTTATAATGATGCTAATCTCGGTAGTTTGTTCATTAGTAAATGTTTGTAAAAGTTGCGAACGTGTAGGAACCATGAGCGAAAGAAGCTGTTAACAAAAAGTCGAAAATTATAGTAAATAATAGTATGTAAATAAATAGAAAAGTTGTAGAAAGTATTAATTTATTTGAAAAATATAAACTCATATTTCGTCAAACTCAACACGTGTATTATATGAATGTTTTTATGCTTTGACATCAATTAATTGGAAATGTAATGAAATAGTATAATTAAGAATGTACATATGTATTGCGTATAATACAAGAAAAAAAGAATAATTTTTCGTATGTATGCGAATACGTTTTTAGTAAATACTGACTTACGTCAAAAAGTTGTTGCGCCATCCAACCGTGATATGGTTGTAGAGCTTCTTTATAAGCCTTTTTTAAAAATGCTACTAAATCCTCTGTTGGTGTTGCCGTTTTAGAGTCCTCGACAATTTGTTCGAAAAATAACAGAATCATATGCAAGGCTCTGTAATTTATAGATCGGAGTTTTGATTTAACTAATGAACAGAATAAGTGATGGAGAAGCGTCAATACACACGAATCGAATTCATCAGAAACGAAGTAAGAAAGTGGAAAGAATAGAAATGCATAAGAAACGCTACACGCACCTGGTTAACCACGTTAGAGCATCCGTAGCGATTAATTTAGTTTCAGTATTTTTTTCAATTAGAATCATATCTTGTAGAATCGCGTTTTTTTCTTTATCCTTTACATGCCGGGACGCGAGTTTCTAGAATTATTTTTAGGTATGTATATGATTATCCTTGTGAATGATCGCATTTTAAGGTATGTACTTACATCAATGTTACCCTGGATATCATATTTAACCGGAGCAAACACTTTGCCAAGTTTTTCTGAAACATTCGTGTTCGTCTTTATAGATTTCGTTTTTGTGTAGGTTATGTGATATTTACTGGATACCAAGTGCATACCAATAGTTCGCACAAGACCTCGAGCTGCATCCAAGAATTCTACGGTTCTTATTTTATCTTCTGTGATATTTGGAAATAAAACTTCTATTTGATAAGTAAAGACATCCTCGTCATCGTTTGCACTCGACGAAGGTGACAACATAATTCTGTATTAGGACAACGTAATTTCAGTTATAACAACCAGAAACGATATACGTATAACGAAAGTGTTTATTTTTAAAAGTTTTTAAGAAATATTAATAATGTTCTTTCAACCCTTGCAGTCTTTTTTAATATATTATCGATCTGTTTATGATAAGTAAATACTTAGGGTTATAGCTGTTAGCTGCAATATATAAGCTGCGATAACAATTTTATCTTAGAGTGATTTGTAACAGAATTTTCAATATATAATCGGTAACAAAAATGTGTGTACACGTGACTTTTTGACTTATTGTTTATATTTTTATATTGAAATAATTTTATAACAAACTGAAAAAACCGATAAACATTCTCATAAAATCTAATCGAACGATTACGTGGCATGATCGTGTAATATATATTTTATTACATCGTTAACTGGATTGGTTCTACGGACAATTTTGAATTATTTTTTTCAAAATTATTTTCACATGTTTATTAGTCGTTACGCAATTTCATATTAGCTATATCTACAAATTATTATCGTCCATAAGGCATCCTAGTTACTATCATGTAAGTAACCCGATGTTTGTAGAATACGTCGGATATTAATGTTATTTCTTGATTGAAAATATATCAAACTAAATTCGTAGTTATTAAACTATACATACCTATACGTGGCAATTTCACAATTTTATCGTATTTTCGGTAATAAGAAATAGAGATTCTGGTTTTATAGCATTCGTTCACACATTCGTACATAGAAACGTTAATGCACAATATTTGTATTTTTTTTATCAAATACAATGTATCAATAGTTGCTACAAAACTCTATAGTATTTTGAATGATATTTACAAAATATGTTAGAATTTAATGAAATGAAGTATGTAGTTAATAACATTGTATGACGTATGAAATTCTCATTTTCTCCTCCCATGTTTAAACACATGCACGCACAAATGCTCTCTCTCTCTCTATCTATCTATCTATCTATCTATCTTTCTCTTTGTGTCTCTCTATGATTTTATTTTGTTAGAAATAGCGTACACAGGGCAATAAGGTTTTCCAAGTCCAATACGGAAAGCTTTACTGTTACAGTTTTCACAAAAACCGATAAAACTGGGAAAAATTTCTCTTCAAATATAGCGCATTAGAGAAACAAGCTCGTAGGAAATATCAATAATTAATTAGTAAGCAAATACATATTGAGCTTGAAGTTATCTTCGTTCGAATTAGCATTAGCGACGAAGCATTATTATTAATATTAATCGTGCTTACTCGCTATGCGAAGATTACAAAAACATAGGACGTTGATTCATCGTCGATTTTTATCGTTCGACATTGGCTATATTCCCGCTTTCAAGATATAAAATCGTGGCAAAATGACAATAACCTTGGAATCTTTAAAACGCCGTTGGAAGTGGATATTTAAGAACATTGCCAGTCGAATCTTCAGCGACGAGAGTCAATGCGGTAAGACAGTGAGGAGGAGCTGGTGGAACTAACGCCTCCAGAGGTGGTCGAGAGCCGGGAAACTGTTTAGAACCAACTACCATTCCACCAGATGTTTTTCTGAGCTCTATTACTCGTACTCCGAAGCATGATCTTACGACGTTTCTATGATAAAAAAAAGAAACGTATATACATACATATATAAATAATAACCGTTTTAAAACTATAATAGCAACAACGGAAAAGGCTGAGTAAGTGAGTGTACGTGCAAGTTTTGTGTACGTGTATTGGGCGTATATGCGCCAGTGAATCAAAATTGTAAGAGAAACATTTTATTATACCTTTTGCCATCGTACTCGATGTCGTGGAAAGGTCGATTGAAAACGTTGTCCATTTCGTTGTTGAACCATCGATGATAAGCAAGAAACGCTGCGCAGGATGGTGACCAAAATGTACGATCAGTTTGCAAATTGGAAGGGGTTTGTTCCGATGCAGGTTGCATCAGACTCTTGGAAAAGGATCTGTTTAATTCAGGACTAGCGGGTGCGGATAGCCTGCCGAGTAATCGGGAAGGGTTTTGAGAAGACGAAGGGCGGGACGATTCGGAAAGTAAGCGATTTCTTCGAGGACTCCCTAACATAGCGTATGGTTCTTGTATCGTGACTGTCACGCTTAGCGGTCTACTCAGTGCGATAGTTGTGTGTTGAGGATCTCTTCGTAAAACGGGATTGCGATTGAAATCGATCCCAGCCGCTCCGACAAAGACACGATCGACGTAATCGAATCCGCGGCCCATTATGCCTTCACGAGTATGCCCGAGATCAAAGGTGTGTCCTAATTCGTGGAGAACCGAGCCAAGAGTCGTGGCGAAGCAGCCACCGTGCGTACCGCGGTAATTACTGTCATCCATCAATTGTTCAGTATCGATGACCGTAGTGTCGAGGAATCTAGGCAATATTTGCGCCATGCAGGTAGGCCATGTATGAAGACATGCCGAACCGAATAACGCTAATCCACCTCCACCGAGCGCGGCGTGTCCTTGCGTCCTCGCGAGAATATCTTCGCGAGTGCGTGGATTTGGCGCGCCTCGATATCTGGTACAGGAAAGAAACGCAAGATATTTGCGATCTTCCGATGCCAAGGGACCGGTCATTAATTCTCGCGCGATGAATTTCCAAAGTTCCCGCTGATTCATTGCACGTGCCTGATTAACGTCAAGCATGCTGTGCATTATCAAACATTCCATACCACCCAAGTCTCGTTCCAGTTGAAACGTTTTCCTTCCGTAACCCGCCTCCCTTAACTTCTCGGCGGTGAGAGTTTGTAAAAGTCGGGCACCGAGACCTATCCTTATCGTCGCACTTTCCGGCGACTGGTCTTCTCCTTGTGGACCTTGGAAATATCCATCGTGTCCAAAGCAAACCACATAGACAGGAGTTACACGTAGTCTCGTCGTTCTCGGCTCGTGAATTAGAACTAGTCCCTTTTTTTGGCCCGCCACTTCTAATTCCAACTTGTTCGGACCTCGTGTCAATTCTACTATCACACGAAATTCACCAGATACGATTGGCCACTCGGAACATTGATTATTTTCATTTCGTACGGTGATGAAGCTATACGCCATCGACGTACGACCTCGTATCAGAGCTAAACTATAACATAAGCTCTCTCCATCCGTAACGTTCGTTATCGATATCTCTTCTGAATTCTCATTTTCCGTGGATTTGCATTGTCGGTTCTCCCGTTCTAATGGAAATTGTCTATTACCTTCGTAATAACATTTCTGCTGACACCGTTGCTGTTCTTGCTGCCGCTGCTGCTGATGTTGCTGCTCACGTAGAAGATTTGTCAGATTCGTGTCTGGAAGTACCTGTGAAGTTTTTTATGTACAATTTCAAGATACATTGCTAAACGATAAAAAAAATTAGAAAGATGAGAGTGACGAGAGTTAGAAACGGCGACGATTATAATGGCAATGACAAGCAGAAGCATGATAATAGCGGTAATAACGGCAATAAAAATAACGATGACGATGACGATGACGATGACGATAACGACGACGACGATGGCAATGACGACAAAGACGACGACGAAAACGATGACGACGACGACGACGACGAGGACGACGACAACGACAACGACGACGACGACGATAACCACGTCGGCAAAGGCGAAAACGATGATGAAGACGAAGACGACGATGTTACCCCCTTTGATAAAAGTGTATCATTTACATAGAATTAGGGAAGCAAAGAGATGTGGTTTTATTTTATTTTTATTTTTTACAACTTCAATGCTTCATTCGATGGATAAAAAGAATAATAGCAGTTTCACGAAAAAGTGACCATATCGATGTAAAATGACAATTCCAAGAGAGGTGCTGCGATCTCGCGGTGAGTTAGAAAAGCTTCTCTACGGAGTAGATTCCTCCAAGTTGTTTCCCACTTCAATTTCCGTTCTTCGGACCGCACTGACACGTACCGTCACATAGAATGTCGAAAGGAATAAAGGCAAGTCGATCGAGCGATTTATTGATTTCCCTTGAATAGCAATGAGAAAGTTTCGTTCAAATCGTATAAGATTGGCTTTTATTAAGAAAAAAAGATATATACGTGCAACCACCGATAAGAGTGCGAGACAAGTAACGAAACGATGTGTCGATATAAATTAAAACGACCAAAGAGAGGGAACTTTGTAGTCGGTGTTAGAAGAAAGAGAAAAAACTTTCGAGTTGCAGAGTAAACGAGGTGTGTCGATAAGGAATTATTCGAATTCGCGTTTGGTTGTCGACGATGTACGCGTGTAGTAAGTCTGACAAATTGAATCGGAATTTTTAAGCGGCAGTACGATTTGCAGCTTTTCAAATGTCAGCTATTTCACTCACCATCGTAAAAGAAGTGTGTAGAAATAGAGTAGACGTACACGTTAAAAATGAAAGGGAGGAAGGTACGTGCTGAACGATCAGCTTCAGCCGGCTCCGTACATACGGAGAGAAAGACTGTGGCGCCGGGACGACGGCGGACGGCGGGTTGCGGTACTATGGCGTCCTCGCAGCGACGCATGCAGTCGCACAGGCGCACTCGCGTTTCTCTTCGTTCTGCGTTCCTCTCCTTTCTCTTTTTTCCCTTTTTCCACTTTGCGTTAACACCCCTTTTTTTCGTACTCTTTCTTGTTTATTCGTTGAGAGATCTGTCTCGCTCTTTCCCTAAAAAACGTATAATTCAATCCCTCTGCCGTATATCACAACGATCATAAAAGATACATGGACGAGCAAATTTTCCTTTCTCGTCTCTTGTTTATTTATTTGTAGAATTTGTTACGTTATTTCGATTATTTTCGAATTAATTGTATTTTTCTAACGTCAAAAAGTATCTCTCATCGATCCTAGAATTTTTATCTAATGGAAAGTTTTGATTAACGTAAATAGAAATCGGTCGCGATCTTTTTAAACAAACAACGCTTTTACCTATCAGCAATGCTTGTATCTAACAATAACAGTATTATTATTGTAATAATACAAAATTTGATGCTTTGTTTAATCTTTTTCGTGGACAAACTTCGATCGATGCTACACTAGTCGGAGAACTGTATTAATTTGTACGATACCGTGCTTTATCTGTGAGATGATTTCAATTGCGACGGTACAACGTTCGATCGACTAATCGCATATGCGCGTGATCACGAGTAGGGTTGATTCGTAAACGGTGTCAAGGATGAGCAACAACAAACATCGTTTCAAGATGTTCACGATTTGAATTCGTTCTATTCTTAATGTTATGTAGTGCTTACGTTCGTAAAACTTGATTCGAATTAGTCAAGTTATCTGAATTCCAGCAATTTACATACATTCGAGTAACTTAAAACGTGTTTATCAGTGTAAAACTGTTATTTACTTGACTCGTTCTTATTAATCACGTCATCTGATTTCCACTCGTTTGAATTCAAGTAACTTGACTAATCCAAACGAGACTTAAAGAACAGCCAATAGTCGTGACAAGCTTTTCCTCCTTTCTCTTTCTTTCCCTATATATCCCTGTATGAAAATAATGTTCTACAGCGAGTTCAAGTATTATAACGAGTATTCTATTCATACGTATAGTATAGTATAGTATACGAGTATTCTATCATTTTTCCATCTGTTTCGCTAAAAATGCATTAAAAATCCGTAGTCTATCGATAAAAAGATACGAGTCTAACAATTACATTAGCGAAGAAATTTATGTACATAATTTATATACTAATATCGTATTAACACTCGCAAACAAAGTGACCATACTGCCATTTACGAGTTGAGACACCTGTTGATATTTAATACAAATTGATTGCTCTCCTTTGCTCTTCTCTTCTATTACCTAGTTACTTTGTCAATAAATCTGTTATTTCGTTCGCGTCACGCGCAGCTACCAATGTAAAATGTCAAATAAAGCAAAATTTGTTTCGCTTTTCCGATAAACATAGCGAGTAGACGCCCTCCTAATACTTAAAGCCAGCTATGTACATACGTACGTATAGGCAGTACAAGAGGATGCAAAATATATGGCAAGTGTCGTTGTCGTGGGGTTAGCGACCGTGAAAGTGCTCCCATGTAAAAGTAGAACGACAGTTTTTCAAAATCGTTGCGACGATTGCGTGCGCCCACAACCGACCTACTTGACGATCGGTCGTTGCACCGTACCTCCAGTTTCCTTGGTTGTTGTGGACCTTTGCTTGTCCTCGAACGAAAGGTACTCCGGAACGCGTGTACACGGTAAAAGAAAGTGCGATTTCATTCAAATAAAAGTTTCCACGAACTACGATCTTGAGCGTGCCCGTTGTATCTCGAACGTACTTGCACATTTCATTTCGTAGCGTGAATCGAAGGGAGGATGCTGCGCAAATATGATCGATAGACGGTGAATGTTTATGCACTTATGGGAAATTTAAAGGTGCAAAAATACACAGAATGTACTTAAAATATGCAAAGTATAGCACTCGTCGTAAGATTTGACGAGGTTCGGCTCTCGCTTCTTTAAATTGCATTTACGAAAATACGAATTTATACAAATTTGCATAGATCAGATTGCTTGGAGAATCTATCGCGAGAGTTACAAAAGATTTAATTCGAATTAGACTATCTATAGCTTCGTGAGTCTTCTTGAAAAATTCGCTTTATTTACAGGCTCTTTCAAAGAAGTTTCGTAAAGATTGCGATAAATAATAATGAAACTGTGTTATATTGGGATAGATAGAGGAAAATTCAAGATTCAAAATTTCTCGAATATATGGGATTCGATTCTCTTTCATTATTTGATAGAAATTCATTAAAAAAAAAAAAAAAAAGGAGAAAAACTACTTTTTATCCAATCCAATAGGAGAATCAAATGTAATTACGACAAGGATACATTATGGAGATTGCGAGGAAGAAGAACTGGAATACGTGTACATTTCAGGTCGGAGTGTCGCGATTTCGCGTGCATCGTGCGTGTTTGCACGCGTTTCCAAACTGAAAGGGTTCGCAGACACTTATCCACTCGACACTTGTCCTATCCGGTTGGTCGATCGTGTAGTATGCTCACATACTGGATGGTTGTATTCACATGCGTCGATTTGTATTGCGTGGCACTTGACACGGGAACGAACGAGAAACGGATGACTTTTTTTCACTGAAAACTAGGTCGTACCGAAAAAACGAGGCTTCTTTTCTTATCGTTATCATTATCATTATCGTGGTTGTTGTCATTATCGATCGTTCGTAAGACAACAACCCTTTAATGAAGAAATACTCTTTTGTGCAACTACTATCTGTGTACATATATCTGTATTGTCACGATCGAATGATGTTTGTAAATACCTATTCACTTATTTCCTTTCTCTCAGATAGAAAACGCAGTTCATCAGCTCTTTGTTTCTCTGTTACACGGCCTCCAGCATAGCATCGCATCCGTGATACGTGTTGCGAACGTTTATCAAGCTTAATTGGACATTCGAGTTTTCCGCGATCATAGAAACGGAGTGAGTTGCGTTCAACGATAAGACGAAAACATACGAAAGAAAGCGAGACTATGAAGGTAAGCAGGGGAGAACGAACTATACCGGAGAGAGTAGGCCAATGCCAGTGTCAGCGGCACGGCTAGTAAGTGTCTGACGGTAAACCTGATCGTGAAAACAGAGAAACGAGTTGCACCGATTACGTTTGTTTTTCCATGATTTGTTTCAATACGATCCTGTATATTACTTTACGATATATATGTATAAATCGTGGGTCTAAATCCGTAGTACGAGTGAAGTCATGAAGATTCCATGGCTCGTAGTAAGACGAAGATCAAGAATAACAGAATTGTGTTGGAGGCTTCGCGTTTGAGAAAGCTGAGTTTGAAAAGCTTGCCAAGTATAGGTACGTGAATTTGCTTAATTCTTAACGAGACAGGAGTTGATAATCGACAGGAGGTTGTTTTACATGCAGAAATAAGTCGAAAATGTAAAATAATATTCGTTCGAATTTTGGTTCACCATGAATATACTTGTCTCGAAAAAAGTGATGTTGAAGTTCGTCGATTCCAAATTTCTTGCTTAATATGCAATTCATTGCGAAATCGTTATCTGTTCTCTTCGTATCTTTCGATTCTCCTTCGTGTTTCTTTCTAGACATAACGTCCAAAATATGTACGTATAAGATAGCACCGGAATACAGATGAAACGAAATGAAACGCGATGACACGATGAAAGATCACGTGTATCATTGTCATGCGTAGTTTACGATAAATATGCGATGAAATCGTGGAGTGGTAGTATTCTGACAGCATCGAATAGAAATTAACTATGTTGCTATTCTGGAATTTTATACACCTCGATGTCGTATCGTTCTCAACTGGGAGAAGGATTTTTAAAGTTCTAAGAAAATCATTAGCATACAATTGCCAGGAAATCCAGCCAGCAAAAGTAAACATAATTAGTCACGTGATAATCCAACTATTGGTAATAGCTATCTAATCGCTGGTGAAAGCGATGTATTATTAGCGTGACTGTATTATCGATAAAATAGATGTAACAGAGTTGACCTAATCATCGTTACACAAGGGTTGGGAGTTAAACATGCAATTTAATCTGTTAGTCAACCTCTGATCTTTCGAACCGAGGGTAGATCAACTCTAGTTCAACATTTTAGATATTTTATCGTATGTATATTGTGTATCACGTACACTCTTGCATCTTCAAATTTTCCATAAGTGTATATACTATATTTTCGTTATAATCGTGTACGTATTATTAGTATAGTATAGGCGAAGAAGAGGCTCGGTACGCTGGGTGCTTCGGCTCGGCCGAACAATAAACAAAGTATACTAATTGCAAGAGGAAGAAAATCAGCTCACATGCGACAACATCATGTGTAGAATTCAAGATCAAGTAGTTACGCGCATTACGACACTCGAACAAATGATTTTGAAACGATTTTGGCATTGAATCGCACGACACGTAGATGCGATGAAGAAATAGCTTATTCATAAAGAGATTCGATGAGATCACGAACAAAGTTTTTTCAATGCGTACAGAAGGGAATTCGATCAAAAGGTTCATCGAACTTGTTGATTCGCGCGATCTATGGTATGGTTGTTTGGTTAGATAGACGAATACGTAATTTGCCTGAGAACTATTCGATTTTGATGAATTCGCTGTACAAGAATTCGCTGTAAAAGGGTAGACGAAAAGGAAGGAAAGGCAGTATCGAACGAAGAGTGTTTTTACTTTCCTCTTTTTTTCCTTTTTCTTATTTCCCTTTTATCAGATGATCGCGTTGATTTGAATTATGCACGCTGGTTCCCCATGCGAGTTACATTAAAGGAGGACTGTATCTTAATCAAAAATACAGTTTATTAATGTAAAAGAGAAATGGCAAAAAAGGAATTTCAACTTTGTTAAATCAAAACAATTGTTCAAACGGTGCCTAGGACGATTTACGTAATACTATCGGCTATCGTGAAAGCTATTATACCACTACGTTTTATTCTACATATTACGAACATCTTTTTTTAAAA